ACATGATGCGATTCTCTGTCCTACAGAGGACTAAGGAATAGACCAGATGGGCCACAGCGTAGGAGGGAGAAAGGACGTGTTAATATGGCAGATGTGTGTGTGTGTGTGTGTGCTATGTTCAAAAGCACACACCAACCATGAGCATAACAGGAGCCACAAAGGCACCAGACTAGCAGATGCCTGATCATGTGCAAAAGAAGTGTCCGAAGAAGTCCCAGACAGGGGCAAGTAAGAGCAAAATACCTGCTTATCTCAGAGCTCAGGCCTCCAGGCTTTGTGTTTTAGGAACCGACTCAGCCTCAGGAAGGAGAACTGTTCTGAGACTGGGACAATGACCTGTCTGTTCTTCCACTCTGCACCTTGCTTAGCTGATACATGAGGCAATGATCTTGGCTCTGCTGATGACTTGCTGTTATGATACTGAGCCAATTACCCAGCTCTGTGCCTGTTCTGCTTTTAAAAAAACAATTGAAATTCTAGCTACTTGAGAGGCTGAGGCAGCAGGATCACAAGTTTGAAGCCAGCCTGAGCAACTTAGCAGGACTGTATCTCGAAATAAAAAGATAAAAAGGATTGTGGATACGGCTCAGTGATAGAGTGCTGCTGGATTCAATCCCTGGTACCACACACACACAGAGGCAACTGCTGTCAGGGTTATTAAGATGATACCCACTGTCTATATGGACCTGACACATGGTAGGTCCTAATTCAACACTATGGTAACCCCTACCTGCTTCCCTGAGCCTGCCAGCTCCTCAAACATAAGCCATAAAAATTTTCTAAACGTCTAATCTGCCTGGATGAAAACACTGGCCATTCCTCTTGCCTTCTGATTTTCCTCCTTACAAGACACATCTTTCCCTCCTTTAATCTATACTTCCTCGAGCGGCCCTGCTTTCTGCTCCTCCACAGTGCACCAGACTCTTCCAAGGGCATCGGCACACTTCTGTGTTTCTGTGACCAGTAACCTTGTGGCCCTGAGTCACATTCATTATCTTACCTTTAAAACCACCAGGCAAGTGCCTTGAGACACACTGTCCATCTATTTTCTCTCTAACCTCTCTTTGCTCCTTGGCATTTCATTCATTTACCCATTCATCCATCCATTCATTTAACAAGATCTTTGATGAGCTATCTATGGGCCTGGTAGCCCCTGGGAACTTGTTCAAATTAGGGTACAGAGACAGAAGCGTATTTTACTTGGAATCACACAGATCCAGGCCATCAACCCACACTCTTACACACCATGTGAGCATAAAACACTCAGACTCAAATGGGATTTGGGCAGAGGGAGTGTGGAGTCCAACGCAGAGCCAGGTTAAGGATTCCCACTCTGGCTTTACAGCTTAGAGGCCTTGGGGAAGGTTTTTAACTAATCTGTGTCCCTTTCCCAGGTGTAAGATGGATTACCAATGGCCTTATGTCACATGGTAAATGTATTAAATTGGTCAATACACACACACACACACACACACACACACACACAAACACGCACACATATGTAGTAGAGTGATAACTGGGTAGTCAGTTTATAATACCAGCTGAACTGGATCAGAGTGGTACTGAGCGTGGACAGCCTACCCACCTGAGGACTGTGGCCAGCATAAAAAGGAGACCTGGAGAGGAAGCATTTAGCACTGTGTTGCTAAAGTGTTGCTCCTAAGTGTTGTTGTTGTTTGGAGCTGTTGTTTCTCCTGGTGGAGCTTGTCATGCCAGCATCCCTGATGTGAACTTGGCTGTTCTCACTGTTGGAGGAGCTCAGGACCTGGTCTGCTGAGAATGGCTGCAGTTTACTTTGTAGGAACTCTGATTCCTACTTTGAGCATTGTTTCCTGGCTCTGGAGGGGAAGATGTGAGCTGTTCAATCTCCAGGAGAAGCCTGTTGTGCTGGCTTCCTGATATGAAGTCAGCCGTTCTCCATTGTCGGAGGAGTCGGGACCTTGTTGCTGTGGAGGGCTGTGGCACTTTTCAGGGAAGCCCTGGTCCTTATTTTGAGTGTTGCTTCTTGGCTCTAGTGCAGAACCCTCAACCTACTGGCACAGATCTTTCACCTCGCTGGCACAGACTTTCTAACTTCCACTGCTGATCTTGGGGCCTCCCCAGAGCAGATCTGTGAAACAGACTTGCATGAGTCATTTTTGTGGGCTCTAGGCCTCCAGTTGGACTGGGACATTGTCATGGGCTCTAGGTCTTCAGATGGACTCATGTAGGACATTGCTGTGGGATCCAGGCCCTCAGCTGGATTCCTTAGGTGTCAGTGTGGACAGATTTCCTGTACTATCTTTGTATTTAACTATGTGACTAGCATAAAATACTACCATAAATTATGTGTTCTGTATGTAATTGTTTTCCTTGCAACCCCTGCATATATATATATGTTTTTTTCAGGACCTGGGACATATGTCAGAGCTCTAAAATCATTGAAGATTATGCTCATAAAGAATCTATAACACAACAGAACCACTCACAGTAGCCAGTTATATTTTGTATGTCCTTCTTGAGTTGTTTTGCATTTTGTAAGAACAGGTATACACATATGCAAAACTATCTTCTGATTCTTACACAAATGAACCCATAATGGACACTTTTGCCTTTTCTGTACCTTTTTTCAGCTAAAATTCATTTGGAGAATCTTTTCCTCAGAAGCTCAGTGAACTGAAACTCCTCTTTACTATCATCCTTGGCAGGGTTTCACTACATGAAATTCTCACTCTCTTCTCCATGAGTATCTAAGGGTATTTTGTGGATTTTGCCAGTACAAATACCTGTGATGAACACCCCTTGAGGTCCTGTCTTGGAGCACAGTGAGCTTCTCCAGACTCAAGTAGAAATACTGACGCAGTGGACCATGCATCTTTGTGCACAAATAACCACCTTCATGTCTGGGAAGGAGTAGTCTCCTGGTGGGTCTTGTCATCACGTGCAGTTCCTATCAATACTTGTAGGGGCATCACTGTGTGCTCTGAGCCTACAGACACCCTAAATTCCCCTGACACTGGACTAGGAGGGGTGGGAGTCTCACAATGGTCTCCCAGGGCAGTGTGGGAATCTGTCTTTCTTCATGCTTCCTTCCATGGGTTGCACAAACCTCACAGTTTAGGCAAATCTTGGGCCTGTATACCAACTTCATCTGGGGGGATAAATCTTGGACTCTGAATTATTGCAAAACACCCCCCTAAAAGATAACCTGGTAATGGCTTATGCTGGAGACAGTGAGTTTCCCAATGGAAGGTAAACTTGTTAGAAAGCCATTTCCAGACAGTTCCATGTCTTCCTATCTCTCTGAGCATCAGCTTTCTTATCTGTTAAATGGGGCTACTGATTGTCTTCACGGAGTTGTGCAGACCACATGAAGACTGATGAGATAATCTTGTAGCAGGCCTGAGGCACAGGAGGCTCTGGGCAAATGGTGACCACTCTGTTACTAACCTTTATTCTTCCCATTGTACAGATGAGAAAAGCGATGCTTAGTGGTGAAGACAGGAGGTAGGATCTTCATAGGAATCTAGGACTTTCCATACCCCTTCACCCTGCTGCCTGCTCACCAGTGGCTCAGGGGGGTTCAGATAACACAAAGTCAACCCCACACCTTGTCCCAAGACAGATAAACTGGGAGGCCTTAAAAGGGGGCACAGGCCTCACAGGCTGTCACCCAGCAGGAGAGTATTACAGGCTCCCAAGTCCTGAACAGGACCCTGCCCATCTAGCCTTGTTTTGAAGGAGGATAGGAATTGTTGACATGGCCTCTCTGCCGGAGCAGCACATTTTAATGTCATGAGACAGTAAAGCCCTAATTAGCACTGTCTCCAGAATACCTCCCATCTGCACCACTGCTCTCTGTGGTAATTACCTCTTCCGGGGACCACTCAGAGCAGCAGCTTCCCAGTTTCCTCGCTCAGCCCTCAGACCAACCTCCACATAGCAGCCAGGGGATCTTTTTCAAAAGGAAGGCGACCTTGTCTCTTCCCTGCCCCAAACTCTCCCCACTGTGGCTGCTGTAAACTGCACGCTGCCTCCAGTGTAGCTCAGGCCTGTGTGCTGGGCCCTGATGCTGGGCCAGCTCGGCTCCTGCCTGGCCACCTGAGCCCTCTGACAGTATCAGGTGCCCTCAGCTCCTTTCCACGGCAGCTCTGCACGTGCTGCTCCCTGTCCCTGAAAGCATACGTCTCACGCACTTACTTACACATGTGATTATTTGATCTATGTACCTCTCAACAGCCTGGGGAGTCAGTTCCTCTGACTCCATCACAGTGCGTCCATAAGTAGAAATGTAAGTGATTCCATGGAAAGTGACAGATGGTGATATGTGAGGGCAATTTCCTTCTTGGAATTGCCCGCTAAAGAGGGATGTGACTGCTCTTGAAGTTCCAGGGACTCTTCCAATGGAATCAAAAGAATCTGTTTATTTCTTTTGCCTTGGTTGTTCGGAAGCTCAGAATTCAATTTAAACATGATGTGCTCTCCTTATGAAAGAGCAGCACACACAAACATACATCCTCACACAATTTCTAGTGTCATTTGTGATCCCTTGTCTTTCTAATGATGTGCTTTTCTGGATAAAGTCACTCGATTATTTTGACATAAGTAGGCCTATTAACTCTAAACATAGGAGCAAGTAAGTAAATGGTATACATGGAGTGTAAAAAGAGTGTTATACCACACTAGCTGCACGGAAGGTGCTTGAGAAAACAACTGCTGAGTGGATGAACAAACTGTTAAATCTCGAATTAGACACCTACAGAGACTGGGGCAACAGATCTACTTTCCCCGCCTACCTCTGACCCTTACTCCCCAGAAATGTTTTGCAACTGCTAGTTTGGCCTAAGAACATGTGCCATTTGTAAATATGCCTTAAATGAAAGTCCAAAAATTGTTATTCCTATGTTCTTTTGCAATGATGATATAGCAGGGAATGGTGTGGTAAGAACCCACTATTTCTCAAACAACCATGGCTTGACAATAGCTTCATCTGTGCAACATCTGTGTGCCCATCAGGGGCCCAGGACACGAAACGCCTCACAAATTTGGGGGTCATCCTTGCACAGGGGCCATGCTAACGTTTTCTGAATCTTTCAATTTTAGTATATGTGCTGCTGAAGCGAGCCTGGGGCCCAGGCCATGATGTGCAGTTGTGCCAAGATAAGGCACATCTGCTCCAGCTCTGGGTGGCCACCTTGCCTGCTTGAGCTGCTGCACCCCTAGGGAAATCAACTGGACCGAGAGGGAAGCTGTGGGAGCCCTCTGGACTCCTCTCTGAGCACAGCTCAACATAAGGATCCAGAAACAGCGGGACAACATCTATGCGAAAAAAAATGGCCAGGAGGCAGGCGATTCCACAGCAGAAAAAAGGACCATGCAAAACATAGGCCCACAGCAGGGAAGTGGTGAGGACAGTTAGGAACAGGGACGCAGGAATCTTCCCTCCTTGCATATTTTCTTTAATGCTATTTAAATGTGCCTTTCACTGGAGTCTCACAAAGCAGGATTTAAAATATCAACTGTGCATTTCCTGTCCTCTCCTTTCTTTAATATTTTGCCTCCAAATGGTCCATGTGAAAATCTCCACTTGTCCTAGGAACGCTGGGGTCCAGAGGCTCAGATGGAGATCTGACATTTGCAAGCCCTCTCCACTGCTGCTACTCCTAAATGTGTCACTTAAAAGCTGTGTGAACAAGACACAACATTAACACTCCAAGAAAGAAGAAAATACTTTGACCTTGGGGATAATGCTGTAAGAAATCTGCAAGAAAGTTCAAGAGTGACTGCCCCTTTGCAAAACAACACACGAGAAGAGGACAGATCAGATTCCAGAAATATAATGATTCCTGTTTAATGGAATTCTTCAATTATCCACTAAGCCTGGCTTTTAGTCCTTTATAATTTAAATAAATCGCTTTACAAATGTTCTTTTACATTTTGTCTTGATATTCCCCTTTTTTTTTTTTCTTTAAAGGAAGAACAAGATTTTAGGAGTCATGAATGACTGGAGATGAGCTTCAGCATCTATGTGAGGCAGTGCTTACTGTCTAGGATCAGTGTCCGAAGCACACAGATTTCCCGGAATACCTGTTTTTATCAGTGTCATTTTCTCAACCCATGAATAGGTATATGGATGGGGCTTATTTTTCTCCCAGACTCATTATATCTCTGTGCCTCATCTCTTTCTGACCATCCTCGCTTGAGAAGGCTCCCATTTCATTCAACCTCAGCCTAAGAATCTGAATTCAAAGTGGATGCATCAACCATCCTTGAAAAACAGACTCAGCAGACATCAGAAAGGAAAAGACAGCCAGCTGATTAAAATGTAAAACTCCTGTGATCACATGAGCTTAGGATACTCAAGTATGAATACATACACGTATACAATCATCAAACATGCATAGGAGTTAAGCCTTACTATTTGTATTATACAGATTAAAATGGATTTTTTGTCTATGGAAATAAAATATAATATAATATCCAGTGTTGGTATTGCTGGGGAGCAATGAAGAATCTCACACACTGCTAATGTTGGCAGGAGGGACTATAAAAAAATAATTTCCAGCCCAAGAACTGTTTGGCAACAGTTATCAAAAGCCTTAAAATGCCACCTCTCCCTTGAGCCAATGCCACTTCTGGAAAGACAGCCCAAGGAATTATTAGAGATGTGCTTTAAGATTAATGTGAAAGATGTATAAAGCAGCAGTGTGGATAACAGTGGAAAAACAAACTATCCAACAAGAGGAAATGAGTTAAATAAATCATGCATTTTTTGCTACAATATATTATGCAGTCATTAAAAATCATGTTCTAGAAACATTTATCAAAGTAGGAGAACGGTCATGATACATGGCTTGGTGGGAAAGCCTGGAGAGATAACTATGTTGGGATTGGTGGGGGTGGAGAGAATTCCAGACACAAACTAGAAAGTACTAGAAAGGCAGGAATCCAATTTCCAAAAGTGATTATTTCTGGGTAAGCGGGATTATCTATAATCTGTATTTTTATGTGTTTCTCAAGGGGCTTTCCATGTTTTTAAAATTTAATCTTTATTTTTTGCGTGTTTTTAAAAAGTTCCTTCCGTATTTTTTAAACTGAGCCCATATATCGTAGGTCATTAAAATAAATACAGAAAGAAATACACATGCATACACAAACACATTTTGTTTTAAGGGCCTAGGTGGATTCCTTTTCCTCCTCACATTTTCTATAAACCAAGCAAAATGGCCCTTTAACTTGTCTCATCTGTGACAGGGTTGATGACCACTGGCCCTTTACATGAAGCCTCGAGGCACTGTTTGAATTGGGGTTGAGTTCAGGTCACGGTTATATAGCAGGGAATTTCCATGGGCAAGGCACCAAATCAGAACCTGCCATAACAGAGAAAGCAAGGTGGGGGAGATGAGAGAGAGAGAGAGAGAGAGAGAGAGAGAGAGAGAGAGAGAGAGAGCTGTGTTACTTCTTTCTGAAATCTAGGTAATGAAATACAGAGTATCCCAGGGAGAGGGTGGGGTAGCCAAGGCCCAGGTCCTTGGCCTCCTTGTGTCATTAAATAGCCACAAAGTCACTTTCATGAGGGAAAACGATGAGGAGGAAATGGTCATTTATAGAAGCCCTTCTCTCACCAGCACCAGCCTGGGCTTCTCCTCTTGTCAGAAGCAGCTGAAATGAACATACACTCTGGAGGCAGGCAGACCCAGGTTCAAACCCTAGTCCTGCTTCCCTCCATCCATGCACCCATAGCCGGCTACCTCCTCTTCGGATTCCCTGTCTCCTGGCCCTTGGGGCCGGGGGAAGCATCTGCAGAGCTCCCAATGGCATGCACAGGATGCTCGGTGGTGACACTGTCTTGGGTGTGCTGCTTTGTACTTTCCACAGTGCTAGGAGGAGCACTTCCTGGCAGGAAGACAGCCCAACAGAGCACGGGGACCATGGCAGGCGATCATCAATTGTTTAGCTTAACAGATGCACCCGGTGCTTTAGTACACTATCTGCACTGCCATCGTAGCCCCGCTTTAGAGACAAGGAAAGCTGTGAGAACAGCTGTGACTTTCCTGCCATTTCACTGTCATTCACATGCCGGTTCCACTGAGGAGGAATGTGAGAATCAGAGGCAAAGACGCCTTTTCAAGACCCCTCAGCCTCAAAGTGACGGAGGTGGGTTTTGTCCTCGGAAGTGGTTCCACAGCCCAGGCTCAAGCACTGTGAGACATGGTCTCTCCACAGTCCCTCAGGTCAACAAATCCTGGTTTACAGCATGGCTCTGTCTCCAGCTGTACCTAGTTTCCCCACAAATTCTCACACATTCAGAGGGTGGGCCTTTGGACTGGATCGTGGGACTGCTACACTCAACAGTGGACTGGTCCACCCATGAGTTCTTGGCTCAGTGTGCTGTTAGCAAGGAGGGCCTCGATGGAGGTGGGGTCACTGAGGGTGACCTCGGTTGTGTCCTTTTTCCTCCTCCTCCCTTCTTTCTCCCTCTCTGCTCCTGGGTGCCATGGGTTGGGCAGTTTTTCCTCCACTATGCTATTTCTGCTTTGGAGCCAGTCAACCATGGGCTGAACTCTGTGAAACCATAAGTCAGAACAGCTCTCTCTTCCTGTAGGTTGTGGGGTATGGCCATGCTAGTCCACTGTAAGCCCTCATGCAATACAAAGGTTAGGATCACATGATGAGCCACAAAGAAACACAGTTGGAGACACGGTATCTGTGTCATGAGACACATGGAGCAGGCTGTTACCCTGAGGGAACTGAGGACAAGAGAAAAGGTCTCCTCCAGACACAGCAATGACAATGTGGGCGGGCAGGGATCCTGGGACACTCATTAGGGCCAGCCTCAGGAGAACTGTGGGGAGACGAGAGGTGAAGAGAAGGCAATGTTACTTGTCATGTGTGGATCCCACTTGGGGACAGGGGAGAAGAAAGCTGCCTGCAGGTAAAAGGGGCCGAGGTCACAGGCATCCTGGAGACCAAGGTGAAGAGCTTGTCCTCCACCCTGGGTGCTCTCAGCTCCAGTGCAGAGCTCTGGGTAGACACAGCTGGATAAACAGGCATCCAGAGTGTCCGCTTTGCCTCCAGGATGGAGAAGGAACCGGAAGTGGAGACAGACTGGGGAGGAGGCTGCAGCTGGGGCAGTGGTGAGGGCAGGGAGGGGAAGTATGGCCTGAAACGCGCTGGGGAGAGATGAGACCCACAAAGGGAGCCACATGTCTCCAACAGGGTGACTAGAGGGAGGAGCAGGTGAGGTTACTAACTTGGGAATGTGTCCAGTTTGAGGGCAGGAGGAGGAAGGGGTGGTCAGAGGGCTGGAGATGAGCCAAGACTTCCAGAGCAAGTAAGTATTAGTCCTAATGTTGGAGAAGCACTAAAAATACAGCCGAAAAATTAAAGCATTAAAAAGAGGCATGGATCCCATTCAGAGACAAGGCCAGAAGATGAGGAGGGAAGGACATTCAGGAAGAGACAAAGAATCCGAGGGAGATCTGTATTTTCTGACCTCTGCAGAGACTAAAATCTTAGGACTGAGAGACTCTTGTAAGAAGAAGAGAGCTCAAGAGACTTGGGGGAAATCTAGAAAGTTTAGGGCTCTCCAAAGGGAAAGAGGAGACAGAAAGCGCGGATAAAGGAAAGGAAAAGGGTTTCGCCGTGTCCACATATGCTAGAGCAGTGGTGGTGAACCTACGTGCCGCAGTGGACCGTGGGTATCACTGAAAGCTCTAAATGGTTTGCCATCACAGTGCGAGGTATGCCACCCTAAGGGGGGATGCAGAGGGCAGACAGGCAGCCCCTCACCCAGCTTTTCCACGGAAGCTCCAAGACAGGGTGACTTTCTGAAGCTGGACCACATTTCTTAAGAAACCTCTTAATGAGGCCTAGCACACTATTTCAGTTGTGGTTCAAATAAATTACAAGTTTTTTTTTTTTAAGTGCAGAAGCCCATGTTATTAAATCACTTCACCTGCATTAATGGGTTTAATAGGCTCTGGAAATAGTCACCTCCTCTCCTTCCCTAGGGAGTCCATCAGGGAAGGTGCCCGGGAGCAAGGCTGGACACACGGCTGACCCAGGGTACAACACAGCCACACTCCAGGCCACTGGGCCATGCTTCTGTCTTACCTGCAAC